AATAATGATTGTTAACAGCCTCCTGAACTCCTTGCTTCCACTTTTGCCCATGTAGTTTATTCTCAATAAAGCAGCCAGAATTGTCATCTTAAAACCCAAGTCAGATGATACTGTTCTGCTCAAAACCTTTCCATGTATTTAACAGACATCTACATAGTGCTTACTATGTTTACCAGATACTTTTCTAAACAGTTTACAAATATTATTTCATTTAATCCTTATAACAGTCCCATCATCATTCTATTTTGCAACTGCAGAAATTGAAGCACCAAAAAGCTATTTTTTGCTCAAAGTCTCACAATTACTAGTGATGAAGCTAGGATTCTAACCTAAGCGTGTCGACTCCATAGTCCACAATTTTAGTCACCATACCATGCTGCCTCTCCATGGCTGCTGGCTTTCCATCTCACTCAGAAGAAAAATCCTATAATGTCTTAGGTGACCCAGTCTCCTGGATGATCCTATCCCATATCTTCATCTCCTATTCTCCCTCTCATCTTACTCAAACCACACAGACCTGGCAACATCTGCAGTGACGTCCCATCTAAAGACCCATTTGCTGTTATTTCTGTCTGGAACACTCTTCCCATGGGTATCTGCAAGGGCAAGCCCATAAATTCCTTTACATCTCTGCTCAAAGACCATCTTATCAGTGAGGTCCTTTCCCGCCCTAGTTAAAATAGCATCACATTGCATCACATTATGTTCTAGATCCTAGATCTTGTTTTATTTTGTAACTTTTGTTTACTGTCATATATCTAGCACCTAGAATAATAGAAGAATAGTTTTTTTAATGATTGGATATTGTTGAAGAAACACTGGATACTGTTGAAGAAACTGGTTAATACTGTAATATACCTAGGATATATAATTTACTACACTTCATTTCATTCTCAGAGGGAAGTCTCAGTTCAGAGATCCACCTTAAAATAAGGGGAAGGGCTGGGCATAGTGGCTCATGCCTGTAATCCCAGCACTTTGGGAGGCTGAGGTGGGTGGATCATTTGAGCACAGGAGTTCAAGACCAGCCTGGGCAACATTGCAAAACCCCATCTCTACAAAAAATACAAAAATTAGCCAGGCGTGGTGGTGTGTGCCTGTAGTCCCAGCTCAGGAGGCTGAGATGGGAGGATCACCTAAGTCCGGAGAGGTTGAGGTTGCAGTGAACCACGATTGTGCCACTGCACTCCAGCCTGGGTGACAGTGTAAGACTCCATCTCAAATAAATAAATAACTAGGAAGAGGACAAAATGCAAATAGTGGAGTAGGGCATTTTCTAACCTACTACTTTGCCCTCACTGCTATACCCTGAAATGCTCTCAAAGAGAACACAAGAATGTTTGGGAGCTCTGGAACTCTTAAATGAGATCATACTTCTTCAACATATTAACCAGATCAGGATTTTCTGTGATCAAATTACCGGAGACTATAATTCAGGCCTTCAAACAAGAAAACAGTTCAAGGGAAAGTAACTATATATCATACATTAAAGCAAATTTAAGAATCAAATTCAGTACAACAAACTGTACCTAATACAAGCAATTACCAACTTAAAAACAGTGTGTCAGGCATGGTGGCTCATACCTATAAAGCCAGCACTTTGGGAGGCTGAAGTGGGAGGATCACTTGAGCCCAGGAGTTCCAGACCACCGTGGGCAACATACAGAGACCCCATCTCTACAAAAAAATCTAAAAATTAGCTAGGCATGGTAGTGCACACTTGTGATTCAAGGTACTCAGGAGGTTGAGGCAGAAGGATCTTAGCCCAGGAGTTTGAGGCTACAGTGAGCCATGATCACATGCCACTGCACTCCAGCCTGGGCGACAGAGTGAGGCTCTTTCTCAAAAAATAAAATAAATTTTCTTTTTTCTTTTGAGACGGAGTCTCACTCTGTCACCCAGGCTGGAGTGCACTGGCGCAATATCAGCTCACTGCAACCTCGGCCCCTCGTGCAAGCGATTCTCCTGCCTCAGCCTCCCAAGTAGCTAGGATTACAGGCACCCACCACTACGCCTGGCTAATTTTTATATTTTCAGTAGAGATGGGGTTTCACCATGTTGGTCAGGCTGGTCTCGAACTCCTGACCTCAGGTAATCCACCCGCCTCAGCCTCCCAAAGTGCTGCAATTACCACAATGCCCAGCCACAAAAATAATTTTTTAAAAAGGCCAGGGATGCCAGGCGCGGTGGCTCACACCTGTAATCCCAGCACTTTGGGAGGCTGAGGCGGGTGGATCACAAGGTCAGGAGTTCGAGTCTAGCCTGGCCAACATGGCAAAACCCCGTCTCTACCAAAAACACAAAAATTAGCTGGGCGTGGTGGTGGGCGCCTGTAATCCCAGCTACTCAGTAGACTGAGAAAAGAGAATCACTTGAACCCGGGAGGCGGAGGTTGTAGTGAGCCGAGATCGTGGCATTGCACTCCAGCCTGGGCGACAAGAGCAAGACTCCGCCCCCACCCCAAAAAAGGCCAGGGGTGGTGGCTCACGCCATAATCCCAACACTCTAGCACTTTGGAAGGCCAAGGCAGGTGGACTGCTTGTGTCCAGGAATTTGAGATCAGCCTGGGCAACATGGTGAAACCCTGTCTCTACAAAAAAAATTAGCTAGGCATAGTGACACATGCCTATAGTCCCAGCTACTCAGAAGGCTGATGCAGGAGGATCACTGCAGCCCAGGAGGCAGAGGTTGCAGTGAGCCGTTCACAGTACTTCACTCCAGCCTGGGAGACAGAGTGAGACCCTGTCTCAAAAAGAAAGAAAGAAAAAAAAGCAGATGGTGTTCCAGAAGTTAAAGGACAAAAACAAGTTTGCAGCTCATATTGCACTGTCTTCATTATTATAATAAAACTGTAGGTTCCCAGGTAAGCTCACCAGCTTATTTAATTCAACGGTTCCTAAAATACTATACTCTTGCAGTAAAAATAATAATAATAAGAGCACATTAATTATATATAGCTCTCTACACCAAGAACTTACAGAAATTGGCTTCCCAGAAGTCCCAGCCTATTAAGTTGGTCCCAGTGAGCCAAAATTGCACCACTGCACTCCAGCCTGGCAATAGAGCGAGACTCAACTCCGTCTCAAAAAAAAAAAGGGAGAGACAAAAAGGAAAAAAAAAACATTTTTCTATTGCAAAGCTTTTAGCCTAACAAATCTGAATCACTATTTCCATACTTAGGCAAGATAATTAACCTCCCTAACCTTAAATTTTATCATCTGAAATATACAATTAGTACCTGCTTCATAGGTTTGCTTTGCAAAATACTCGATACACAAGAAATGTGAAGTTCCTTTTTCTCCTACTAGCTGCAAGGCTTTAGGGTATCACCCACTCCAGTTTCATCTCTCCCTCGTATATAACTCTCTTTGGCCAACAATGTCCAAGTGCTTGCCTGTCTGAAAAAATATAAGCTAGCCAGGAACGGTGGCTCACGCCCGTAATTCCAGCACTTTGGGAAGCTGAGGTAGGTGGATCACAAGGTCAGG